GCCTCATAGAATGAGTTTGGAAGTTTACCTTCTTCTGCAATTTTCTGGAAGAGTTTGAGTAAGATAGGTGTTAGCTCTTCTCTAAATTTTTGGTAGAATTCAGCTGTGAAGCCATCTGGTCCTGGGCTTTTGCTTCCTGGAAGATTTCTGATTACAGTTGCGATTTCCTTGCTTGTGATGGGTCTGTTAAGATCTTCTATTTCTTTGTGGCTCAGTTTTGGAAAGTTATACTTTTCTAAGAATTTGTCCATTTCTTCCAAGTTGTCCATTTTATTGGCATATAATTGCTGATAGTAGTCTCTTATGATCCTTTGTATTTCAGAGTTGTCTGTTGTGATTTCTCCATTTTCATTTCTAATTTTCTTGAGTTGATTCTTCCTTTTTTTCTTGATGAGTCTGGCTAATGGTTTGTCTATTTTATTTATCTTCTCAAAGAACCAGCTTTTAGCTTTGTTGATTTTTGCTGTGGTCTCCTTTGTTTCTTTTTCATTTATTTCTGCCCTAGTTTTTATGATTTTTTTCCTTCTACTAACCCTGGTGTTCTTCATGTCTTCTTTTTCTAGTTGCTGTAGGTGTAGAGTTAGGTTATTTATTTGATTTTTCTCTTGTTTTTTGAGGTAACCTTGTATTGCTATGAACCTTCCCCTTAGCACTGCTTTTACTGAGTCCCATAGGTTTTGGGTTGTTGTGTTTTCATTTTCATTTGTTTCTTTGCATATTTTGATTTCTTTTTTTACTTTCTTCTGTGATTTGTTGATTATTCAGAAGCGTGTTGTTTAGCCTCCATTTGTTTGTATTTTTAATAGCTTTTTTTCCTGTAGTTGACATCTAATCTTAATTAGAAATTTGAGCTTTTGTCTTCTGGCAAAATATGGTTATAGTAACTTTTAAAAATGAAGTTGGAGAGAGATGAAGTACGTCATAGTAAAATTATGAGTCAGCTAATGTTTATCTCTAATGAGGCACGATATTAGAAATTTAATCATTCCTTGGTGGTTTGTTTTCTGTCTTAAGATACTAAATTCTGAGTATTATTTATATATTTTGAAAGTCAGTGTTATTTTTTATGAATTTATTATAATTTGCTATGCTGAAGTAATCTCTATAGTATTGTTAATAATTGAGTTGAACAGAGTTATCTGTTCCTAAACTAGGTGATTCCATGCAGATTTGTTTTTAATGCTTTTATTTTTATTTCTAGTTATTTTAATTGCTACTTTTACCTTGAACTCTCAGTTATTTCTAGGTGCTATCACTGTGCTGTTTCCAGAAGCAGATTTCCTTCTAATTTATGACTCTAATAAACTGTGAATTGGGTTAAAAATAACCAAGCTTAGTTTATCTTAATTTTTTAAATGAGAAGTAGATACTGTAGAGAGCTTGGTGGACTGTCATGTAAGCACCTTTTGGCTCAGATTTTTATCATCCACTTTGGTTGCTTTGAGGCCATTTTCACTGACTTCCTTATTCTTTGTTAGTTCCTGCTGTTAAGCTTTATAGTTGAATTAGGTATTACTGTATTATTAACTAATTCTGTAAGGCAACTGGAGGACTAGTGGTCATATTTTTTTGGTTTTGTTTTAAAGTTTTAATACATTATACAAATTTATAGAACATATGAGAAACTAATATCCCATCAACTTTGGCGTGGTTTTCATATATATCTATAATTATCTTTTCTATAGTGTTTATCTTTTCATTTTATTAGGTTGCCTTTGTACTTAATAGTTCTTTTGATGGTAAAGTAGTCTATTATATATCATAATACCAGTGGAAATGGAAATGGAAGTGTTAGGTGCTCAGTTGTATCCAACTGTTTGTGGTCCCATGGACTCTAGCCTACCAGGCTACGCTCTATGGAATTCTCCAGTCAAGAATACTGGTGTGGGTTGCCATTGCCTTCTCCAGAGGATCTTCTAATACCACTAGTTAATATTTATTTTACTCTTATTATTCTAAGCTTATTGTGCTTATTGTTCTAAGCACTCTGCATCTTTAAACTTCTTTAAGTCTCACAGTAACACTATGAGTATTATCCCCATTTTACAAATGAGGACACTGAGGCATAGAGAGTTTACATGACTTGCTCAGGGTTTCAAAGTTAGTAAGTAGTAGGTTGTTTGTTGTTCTGCCACTCACTTGTGTCCAACTCTTTGCAACCCTGTGGACTACATCATTGCCAAACTTCCCTGTCCCTGGCTCCTAGAGTGTGCTCAAACTCATGTCCATTGGGTTGATGATGCCATCCAGTCATCTCATCTGGGTACTCTGGCTCCAGAGCCTGTGCTCTGCTCTGTTGAACATTTAGGATGCTTCTAATTTTCCCTTTTGTAAATAATACTGATACAAATATCATTCTACTTATACTTTTTTTGCATATTTAAGATTATACCTTTGGGACAGCTTTGTAGTGGTCATGTAAAAAGGAAGTATTTGGTAACAAACTGTGTGGTACTAATATACCTCATTTACCTCATTCATTTATCTCAGTTACTTATGAACTGCTTGTGGTTAATGTGATGGGAAATGTACAGATATTCTTTGCCTGGATAGGTTACCAGAATCAAATTACTATGTTCCTTCAATACTATAATTCACATATTCCATAATTCACGTAAAACCAGGATGCTTTTGCCACTGGTGTGTAATTTAATGTGGATGTTTTTGTTCCTTCTTCTTTTCCCTTGTATTTTTCTCCCTAAAAGGTGTTTTTAAGTCCCAAATGCATTGTTAACATTTGTGGTGCCTTAGAATCAATGGAATGCAGTGTGCCATACTAGCTTTTTAAGGTAACTGAGAAAAAAAGAAAGATTACTATAAAACATTTTGTTTTACAGACATACAGTCTCCTGATGCTGAGTATGTCGATTTGCTCCTTAATCCCGAGCGCTACACGGGTTACAAGGGACCAGATGCTTGGAAGATATGGAATGTCATTTATGAAGAAAACTGTTTTAAGTATGTGTCATTTTCCTTTCAAAATTCCTGAAAGATGTGTTCATTTCTCTTTATAAACAAACAAAATCATAATGACTTAAAATTACAAATCAAGTTCACTTTATTAAAGGATGTATTTGGACATAGTAACATACTCATTCATTAATCCAGTTTCCCTCTGGGGTAACATATAGACATGCATTTCAACAAATACTTCTTTCTTTTCCAAAAGACTTAGAATAGTATTAGACTTGTATGAGAGTGTTGTACGCATTTCTCAAATGTTCCTTAAGTCGGTTATAGGATCTCAGGTGAGCTAACCTAGAGCCAGAGAGATGATGTAGTTAATGCAGGGAATAAATTAGGATATATAGCTGCATATTCTTTTCAGTGCTCTATACTCCTCTTTTTTTGTTGCTGTGGTTATTTTACCTGCTTTCAAATTAAAGTTAAGTTCTCTTCAGAAAATAATTATAAATAAGCAATATTTGAGCACTTATGATGTGCCAGTTGTTGTGTTAAATATGTTATAAACATTTTCTCCCTTAGTCCTTGTAACAGCTCTGTGTTGTAGTCATCACTGTTTACAGATGGAAAAACTGACACTTGGAAAGGTTAAGTGATCTGTCTAGTGTCAAAGACATAGTAAGTGGAAGAACCCTCTTTGTCCTCCTACCGACTGCAATGGAAGCTGTCAGTTTGAACAGTGAGACTGAGACATGCTTCAAGTTTACCCACTTGTAAGCCTCTAGGCTGTAAACAGGGTACTTACTGAGTTTTGGAAGGGATTGTGTATGCACATGGGTGTTATGCTATCTCAGAGATAGGGATAATTCTGGGAAAATTTCTGGAGTTCCAAGTGTGGCAAAAATACTTTCCACTTTTTGTGTCAAATATAAGCATTTGAGATCAGCAGTTTCTTTTTTTGACTTGCAGAATTTCTGCAATTTAGAAAGTGGAGAGTTTTCGTTATTTACTCATTTCTGCCATGTGTTTCATTTAAATTCTCTTGACTCATATTAGGAACGTTTGATTTACAGAATTTTTAGAGGTTTTTTTCCCTAATTTTTTAATATAAACTAAAATAGAGCCCAACTAAAGCATTTGTTAGATTTTGTATTAGTTATTAGTTAGCTATTATTTCCTAATTGATTTATATCATTGTCCACATAATATTTCTAAAATATAAACAATATAGGAGGCACTAAAATTGAGTATGTTAAAACATAGCTTACATGTTCTGTTCTCAAAGTGTCTCAAGTTGTGCAATTGTAAAATAAATAAAGTACATTAAAATGATCCTTATACTCTAGTAGTGATACTAATGAATTTAATTTGGGATTTAAAAACATTTTAGTGACATTACTCTCTTTTTTCTTATTAAATACTTACTAAAACTTATTAAAAACCATCTTTATTGAAATTATAATAAACTTGATGGCCACAGAGCAAATTGATAGACTTAAAATTATCAAAGTGGAAAATAATCTAACCACACTGTTTTTAATCCCTTTTTATTTTAGTGCTGGTGTTGAGTATTTGCCTTTCTTTCCTGCTTGTCTTTCAAATGAGTGTATTTTATGACATACACATGTATATAACATATATAAAAATATGTTAGTAACTAGAAGAACTTGACTGGTGTTTTTTTTTCTTCCTTTGTTTGAAGAAATGATTATGAAATGACTTTTTGGCTGCTACAGTGGGAAAAGATCCGCAACTTATCACTAAAACAAATAACCATCCTCCCTTATAGCAGTTAGAAAAAATAAATATTTTATAAGGTCAGTAAAACAGTTTGATTTTAGATATAGTTATTAACCAATGCTGGAGACATAAGACATGCAGTTCAATTCCTGGGACAGGAAGACCCCCTGGAGGAGGACATGGCAACCCACTCCAGTATTCTTGCCTGGAGAATCCCATGGGCAGAGGAGCCTGTCCTTGGGGTTGCAAAGATTCAGACATGACTGAAATGACTAAGCACACATGCACGCACATAATTATTAAAAACCTTTCTGAGGTAATTTCACTTTTACTTAACTAATTATAGCATGATGGGTAACATATTTATATTCTATACTTTAATTTTTTGTTTCTAGGCCACAGACAATTAAAAGACCTTTAAATCCTTTGGCTTCTGGTCAAGGTGAGTTATTTATTTGCGCTGTTATTTATCAGCTAGTGAACTTTGGTTAGAAGGAAGAAGGAGGCAAGATAAAGATTGGCAGGAGCATTTGAGATCATATATTCCTGTTTTCACAGAAGTTATGCCTCATTCTTGCAGAGAAATGGGTGTTGAAAATATTTACACTTCAGTAAGGAATATTTTTGTAATGAATTTAGACTATCATAGGATGAAGTTTAAATTATACATTTTTAATATATTTTTGCAGAATGTGTGTGTTCAGGCTGTCAGTTGTTTTTACTCATCTTTAATTCAATGAATATCCGAAAAACTTCTGCCTCACATCTTCCTAAAACTTGAAATTATTGTATATCTTGGGAGTCTGATTTCAAATTCAGTTGACTTTATATCTCATTAACATTTTTCATTTTCTGCTTATACTCAGGATCTGGCTTAAATGCTTCCTTGCCCACCCTGTCAATTTCTCTGATCCCCGCCTAACTGGCAGTAATCTCTCTCTCCTCACAAAATGATCTTATGTATTATTTTGTTCCTCTTTCAGCTCTTTCCACTTGCTAGCATTATTTTACTACTATTTATGTATCTATTGTCTTCCCAGGTGGTTCAGTGGTAAAGAATCTGCCTGCCAAGCAGGAGACTTGGGTTCAGTCCCTGAGTCCCTGATCCCCTGGAGAAGGAAATGGTGACCCACTCCAGTATTCTTGCCTGGGAAATCCCATGGACAGTGGAGCCCAGTGGGCTACAGTCCACGGGGTCGCAAAGAGTCAGACACTACTGAGTGACTAAATCACCACCACCACCACCATGTATCTATTGATCTACCCTAGTACTTTGGACATATGAGTAGCATTTATTGGTTTCATCCCTCAGTAAACAGCCTGAAACATAATAGATGGAATAGTTAAATGATCAATGAAAATCGCCCTCCTCATTTAATAGTCTTGTCTACAGTAGTGAAAATCGCTTGTTTCTTCAACAAATGATTATCCACTATTTACTATGTGTTAGGCACTGGATAGGTGCAGAGGGGATGTAAAATTTAAAGTCACAAACCTTGCCCAGTCTATAAGTGGCAGAACAGTTTGTTAAATAAACCATTTCAAGTATATGATTTCAGGCTTTTTCCCTAGGAAATATATAACTGTGTTTTCTGAATATATGCTTATTGACAAATTCTTTGATGTGCTTTTAGCAACTGTGGAATGGTTTTCATTTTTTAAATTTATTTGAAAAACTGCTGATCTCATAGAGTCAACAAACATAAATTTACTTCTGGAAAGCAGTGAGATTGCATCATTCCATAAATGTTGGCAGACTAGTCATTCTTAGGTTAGAAATGAAAGAATGTCTTTAAACACTGCTTTTGATTTATATGGAGTCGCATATGGTACTCAGTGGAAACTATTGATTTAATATCAGATGAGATGCAAATTCCTAGGCAAGAGATGATCTTCACTCTTATGTGAAGTCACTCACATTATGATCTGATAAGTTAATTAACCACCTTTGCTTATTTTAAAGATAAATGGGAACAATGTCAGTGTTTATCATCAGGGAACTGGTTAAATGAGTTATGGTATTTTTATATAGTAGAATATAGCCATTCTAAATGTTGCTGAAAATTTTGTATTCATTTATATCAGTGGTGATCAATAGTGCATTTAGGAGAAGAAGCAGGTATTAGACAGTATGTATTAATATATTTTTTATAAAAACATAATTAGTATAATATCTCACTATCCTGTGCACAAAGAAAAAAAACACTTACCAAAATGTAAATGGTATTTATCTTTGGGCTCAGGGAGTTATGAATGATATATTTTATTTTGTCTTTGTGTTGTCTTTATAACATATATTTGCAATGAGCATCTGGTACTTTAATAAATGATGGCATTAAATAAAAGTGGCAAAATGAAGACAGTTTTTCAGTACTTAATGAGCAGCTGCATACAAACTGCTGGATTGTGCATATTTGGATCTTACACATAGTCTTTAAAAATATTGCTGAATAAGGTAAATTTTTATAACGTCAGTTCTGGGAGTTTTGAAGCAATAACACAGATCCTTAGCAGAAACTGTCTTATAGCTGTAGGATAAATAAATAAGTAAAAAGGCTCTGACAGCCAAATAACTGAGTCCTTGAGATATTTAAGAGTACTCTTAGATGATAGATTACATTTCTCTTTCCTGTCAGCCCACATTAAATCTTGAACAAGCTGAAACTACTCTTTATCCAGGCTCTTGGAGATGAGGCCATTTAGTCAAATTAGGCATAATTCCTTTTATCACCAGAAAGAGTTGCAGTCACAAGCATATCACTCTCAGATATTATCTATGTGGGTGAACTGATGGACTAAAAGTAACGGAAGTGTAGCATTTTAAAAGGAGCTATCTGGAAGGAGTTTTTAATAATATAACTTTTGTTTTCTTTTTTCAGGTAAAAGTGAAGGTAAGTATAATTTCTTTATCATACATGACAGATGTGAATTTGCTTATATTGAGAGGTTTGTGGGCAAACTTGTTTTTTCTTCCCACATGTGAGACTTGAGAAGTTACTTTTTATTTATTTATCTAAGATGCTGACAGGGAGGCATATGTTAAGGGAAAAATGACTCTGTGCCTGGGATCAGACAGTAGAGACAGGCTGCCTCAGCCTCTGATAATTCACTCATACACTTTATGTGTGTGAAAGTGAGGCATTTCCTGGCTTGTGTCAGGGAAAATTTCTTCTTTATTGACTGAACTCTGGGATTTGCTGGGTCACCCATAGGAAGGTTCTAGGCATGATCTGAGGAAAACAATAGAATGGGAAAGACTAGAGATCTCTTCAAGAAAATTAGAGATATCAAGGGAACATTTCATGCAAAGATGGGCTCAATAAAGCACAGAAATGGTATGGACCTAACAGAAGAAGATATTAAGCAGGGGTAGCAAGAATACACAGAAGAACTATACAAAAAAGATCTTCATGACCCAGATAATCACGATGGTGTGCTCACTCACCTAGAGCCAGACATCCTGGAATGTGAAGTCAAGTGGGCCTTAGGAAGCATCACTACAAACAAAGCTAGTGGAGGTGATGGAATTCCAGTTGAGTTATTTCAAATTCTAAAAGATGATGCTGTGAAAGTGCTGCACTCAAGACGCCAGCAAATCTGGAAATCTGGCCTCAGCAGTGGCCACAGGACTGGAAAATGTCAGTTTTCATTCCAATCCCAAAGAAAGGCAATGCCAAAGAATGCTCAAACTGCCACACAATTGCACTCATCTCACACACTAGTAAAGTAATGCTCAAAATTCTCCAAGCCAGGCTTCAACANATATTAAAAGCATAGATGTTACTTTGCCAATAAAGGTCTGTCTAGTCAAGGCTACGGTTTTTCCAGTAGTCATGTATGGATGTGAGAGTTGGACTATAAAGAAAGCTGAGCACTGAAGAATTGATGCTTTTGAACTGTGGTGTTGGAGAAGACTCTTGAGAGTCCCTTGGCTGCAATGAGATCCAACCAGTCCATCCTAAAGGAGATCAATCCTGTCCCGGGTGTTCATTGGAAGGACTGATGTTGAAGCTGAAACTGCAATAGTTTGGCCACCTGATGTGAAGAGCTGACTCATTGGAAAAGACCCTGATGCTGGGAAAGATTGAAAGCAGGAGGAGAAGGGGACGACAGAGGATGAGATGGTTGGATGGCATCACTGACTCAATGGACATGAGTTTGGGAAAACTCCAGGAATTGATGATGGACAGGGAGGCCTGGCATGCTGCAGTCCATGGGGTGGCAAAGAGTCAGACACGACTGAGCAACTGAACTGAACTGAGGCATGATCAGAGTGTTGATCTACTGGCTTCCAAGCCTGTGCTGATTCTTGTGTGTAGGTATTATTGCCAGCTTTTTAAGTTATTGTAATGTGCCAAATTTTAACATATTTTAGGTTTACAGTGTCTTTTTGAGAATATTTTTACTTTATGAGTAAGATTGGGATGATTTTTGTTATTCTTAAGACCATATGCATAGCAATATGAGAAGACTCAACAGTACTTAGCTTTACTGTAGGTAGATGAGATTGTTAAAATGTGTCACTTTTCTCTCACTCTAACTTCTCTTCTTTTTAAACAAAATTTTATTTATTTGTTTTTGACTGTGCTGGATCTTTGTTGCCATGTAGGCTTTTCTCTAGTTGCAGGAAGCAGGGACTCCTCTCTAATTGTGGTGCGTGGGCTTCTCATTGCGGTGGCTTCTCTTGTGGCACTGGGCTCAGTAGTTGTGGCTCCTGGTCTCTTGAAGTGGGCTCAGTAGTTTGGTGCATGGGCTTAGTTGCTCTGTGGCATGTGGGATCTTCCCCTACCAGGGATCCAACTGCATTGGCAGGTGGGTTCTTTGCCATTGAGCCAGGGAAGCCCCCCATATTCTCTGTCTTCTGAGCATTATTTTTACGGGTTGCCTTTACATTATGTCTAAGTAACAGAATCCTGAAGTCTTATAACTTTGCTCTTTTATTGTTATACTTTATTTTATCGTAATGGTAGCAGCTAAGTAAAATCCTGAATCATAACTATACTATTTGGAAGAGAAATTCTTTAGTAGTATGATTATTTTTGCAAAGCTGTCTCATATTTTGTTAGTGTTAGTGGTGACCCTATAATTTCCAGATATGAATAACTTTATTCCACCTTGGGTGTTCCCAGTTCTATGCTTTATTCTGGCTACATTAAAAGAAGCTATTTCACCAGTGCAGACAGCCCTTCCTCCTGGGCCACGGGGCATGGACAGAAAGGTGGCCGCCCCCTCGCCCATCATGCACCACACATTCGTGGGGAACCTGGTGCTGAAGCATCGGCAGACAGCCTGCCTCTGGGTCAGGGTTTCACATGTAGCAGAGCAGCTCCCTCACCACCATCTACTGAAAGTCGGCCCTCCACACAAGGGTTTGTAAAAAAAATTTAATAAAATAAACAAATTTTAAAATAAAAAAAAGAAAAGAGAAGCTATTTCAGGTTTTTAATACCATTTCAAGATCTTAACCTATCTCATTATCAAAGTGTAGGTGGTTAACCTGTAGAGGCTATCCTTAGACAAAACATCTTATTTATAAGTGTGATTTTAAGTGTTCTTTCTGGGAAAATATGAAAGCGGGCATATTAGGCGATTATCTAGCTGGATCATATTCACAGACAATCTACTTCAGGACTACAAAACTAAACGAAAATTTCTTTGGAGGACTAAGTCCTAACTTAAAAAAAAAAAAAACCCAAAACATAGAGGTTACCAGTAAGGAAACAAATCACTTATAATCCCACAACCCCAAAATAATTGACATTAATTATGGCTAAGAAGACATGCCAGTACTTTTCAAAGTAATTTGCAAATGTGAATTTATTTAATCCTTCCAACAATCCTAAGAAATTTTGTTAGGATTTTTATTTCCATTTTTATAGACAGAAAATGAATCCCAGAAAGGTTCAGCAACTCAGCTAAAACCATATGATTTGTAAGTAGCAGAGTTTGGGATTCAAATCAGGCAGTTTGATTTCAGGGTCTATGCTTTTAACTACTTCATACTGCTTCTCTGCTAACATTTTGATAATTATTATTATTTTCATGTTTATACCAATATTTTTATAATATATACATTATTATTTTATATATTATTATTACCATGTCAACTTACTTCCTCAGCCTGTGTCCTGATCAGCTCAGGCTGCTCTAAAAAAATACTGTAAACTAGGTGGCTAAAATAAAAGACATTTATTTTCTCAGAGTTCTGGAGGCTGGGAAGTCCATGATCAAGGTGCCAGCAGATTTGGTTCTTGGGGAGGGCCCTCTTCCAGGCTTACAGATAGCTGTAAAGATACTGATTCCATCATGGTGACCCCACCCTCATGTCCTCATCTTAGCCTAGTTATTTCCCCAAGACCCACTTCTAAGTACCATATGGTGGGGGAGAAAGGGGAGTTTAGGGCTTCTACATACGAATTTTAGGAGGGGACACAAACATTCATCCATAACAACTTAGATTTCTAGAAATGGATTTACTGGATCAAAGGATAAGGGCACTTTAGGTGCTTGATACACATGACCAGATTCTTTCTGTCATTGAAAGGGTGTGCTGATTTACACCCCTTCCACTCATTTTGCCACCTAGTTTTACCTAACTCTTGTCTAAATTAAGTATCTTATTTCTTCTTCACTCTTTAAAGTTCTGTCTTTACAGTTTTAATTTGCATTTTATTTTTTTATCAAGGTATAATTGATGTATAATATTATATATTTCAGGTGTACAACATAGTGAGTCAGAATTTTTAAAGGTTATGTTCCAGTTATAGTTATTTAAAAATATTTGCTTTGTTCCCTGTGTTGTACAAGATATGCTTAATTTGCATTTTTATTATTAGTGTGACAGAACAGTTTTTATCTGTTACTACCATTTGTATTTTTCCTTTATGGATTCTCTATTCATATTATTTGCCCTTTTTATTGGGTGCTTTAGCATTTTTATTTGGTGTATGAACTTTTTATACACAAGATATTATTCTTTGTTGCATTTGTAACATACATTTTACTCAGTTTGTTTGCCTTTTCCTTTTGTTTATAAAGTTTTCTGACACAAATGTTTTAAGTTTTTATGTAATCTGTAAATACATAAATGTATGTTTATTCTATTTGTCATTTCTTCCATTACTTTTATGCTTGTTTGGTTGATTATTAAAATTACTATGAACAACTTTGGTGAAAAGATCCATATAGTACAATGTTTGTCTTCTCTAGTAGATATATACATAGAATGTTCACATAGGTATAATATTTCTTATGCCTTTTTATGTATTATTTCAAACAAACATTTTCATACATTGTATTCCACACGCTTGTCATCTTAAAGTTTTATATTATTCAGTCATGTTAACTTGTACATAGTATTTTATCATGTTAGCTTAGGCCTTGTTGTGCATTTTGGTTATTTCGGGTTTTAAAAATTATGTAGAACATAATCATATTTCTATGTATTATCACCCCACCTCCATTTTGAGTTGTTTCTTTAGAGCATAATTCTAAGAGCAGAATTATCAGGTCTAAGTATATGAACAGTGATTACTGTAGGCCATAGAATATAAATGACATTTGGTTTTTGTAACATTTCCTTAAATTGTTCTTTTGAAGTATGGCATGGCATAAAATACTATCAGTTATAGACAAATAATATACTTCCAATACTATTTTATAATTTTGACTTCTCTCATTTTAAAAAGTGCATAATGTGTTCTTAATTTTTATAACATGAATTGCTATTAAGGCTAAGTATTTTTCCATGCATAGATTTACTATTTAATTTCTGTGTTTTGACCTCATATAAAACACTTTATCCAGAAAGTTATAAGGCTAGGGAGTTATAAGGCTAGGGCCACCTAAGGCAATGTTAAAGCCTTCTGAAGACTGAGCAACTGAGTGGCACTTAAAGTGAATCCATACCAAGAACCTTTCTCCTTTGCAGATAAGACTGGGACCTTTAAATTGCTCTTTGGCACAAAGTTGCTATAATATTTTAAAACTTTTGAAAAATATATATTTGGGCATTTTTACAATCTTATAACTTATTTTTCTTTTAATTTCAGAGAATACTTTTTACAGTTGGCTAGAAGGTAATTGGACACTTTTAAACTAATTTTTTTCATTTTAAAATACACATAAAATTAATTTTATATCTTACAAGTTTCACATATGAAATTTCTATTTCCAAATTACCTTTTGTAGGTCTCTGCGTAGAGAAAAGAGCATTCTACAGACTTATATCTGGCCTCCATGCAAGCATTAATGTGCATTTGAGTGCACGATATCTTCTACAAGGTATATAATAGTCACTTTTATTCACTTTACTGCACTTAATTTCAGGTATCCTTAAAATTTTCTTGGTATTTACCTGGATGGGAAAAGATTGGCCCTGTTGAATAATAGGCAGGAAAAATTTATTCCTAAGTGGCAGTAATCAGGAATGTGGGAACTGTGGACATTATCAGGAAAAGTTCAGCCTATTCTTATCAGTCTTCACTTTCTTTTAAGAATCTGCTCAAAATCACACACATCACTTTGGAAATGTTCTTTTGTTTTGTTGTGGGAATTAAAATAGCTCCTAAGAGCACAGTTGTTTTCATTAGATACTACTGTATCTGAATCCTTATGTTTGCATGTCAGCTTCAGGCCTGTAGTTTAATGGGTAAAAGCATTTTGGCTGCTCTTCATGCTTTACAAGGCTGTTGAAAAATGAGACCATGTTGGATTTTCATCAGTAACATGTTTATTCTAGAATTAAAGTATCTCTTACTTCTTAGAAACAAAATCATATTAACTTTAATTAGGACTTCAAACTCATTAGTAATTTCAGATAGTCATCTTTGACTTCTGTATCTTGGTTTTATGAATATATTTATATTTAGGAATTTGATTGGATTAGTCCTGGTTTCTCAGTAAAATAATTGAGTTTATTTTCCTTTTAAGTATAGGTTCTAGAAGATAAAATATTAATATGAAACTGTTAAAGGCTCAATTATGTAAAGCAGTTTTCATGGTTGTATTGATTATACATTTTAAAATATAAAATAAAATTAGCTTTTGTAAGCATAAATAATCTAAATACAATGAAACTTAATTTTAAAATTCAGTTTTTAATATTTAATTCTTTCTTCTCAGATACGTGGTTGGAAAAAAAATGGGGACACAACATTACAGAATTTCAACAACGATTTGATGGAATATTAACTGAAGGAGAAGGTCCACGAAGGCTTAAGAACTTGTATTTTCTCTACTTAATAGAATTAAGGGCTTTATCTAAAGTGGTTCCATTCTTTGAGCGCCCAGATTTTCAACTCTTCACTGGAAATAAAGATCAGGATGCAGAAAACAAAATGTTACTTCTGGAAATACTTCATGAAATCAAGTAAGTTGTGCATTACAACTCATGCAACTTATATATTAATAGAAGAGTGACAAGTGATATCCAAAATTAAATTCTTAAATAATCAACTTAAAGGAAAATTATCTAAAAAATAATTAAAAGCTAATTTTGCTCATAGGTCTTTTAAAATTGAGTTTTGGTTTTATTTTCATTTTGACTTATGAACTAAGAGGTGCATATTTTTAGTTTTAAGAACCATTCTTTTGCTATTTGATACTTGCATTGTTTTTATATTTAGTTGAACAGGTTGGGTTTGGGCCCTAATTCTACTATGTTATACAGTTAGCTTTTATATTTGAGGATAAGAATTTGTTTGAGGGCATCAAAATTTTGATTTATACTATCTGTTCTACTCTATTGTACTTGTATTATTCACCACTGACCAGCAAAATGTTGTATTAGCAGGACTTTTAATATTTTATAATACATGAAAATGATTTTGTTTTATTCAGAGAATATGTTTTATTTAATGCAGGTCATTTCCTTTGCATTTTGATGAGAATTCATTTTTTGCTGGGAATAAAAAAGAAGCAAACAAACTAAAGGTAATAATTTTATACTTTAATTTTTAAATGTAAACTCACATGCAGATATGACTATAAGGCCATGTTTTATTCTTAACAGTAAATCCGAATATACATCTTGAAATTATAAGAAAAAAATCAGAGTCATAATCTTTCTTTTCCTCAAGAAAAAGAGGAAGTCCAAAAGCAGATCCAACTTAAGATTTAGTTTGTATTGTTTTCAACATAACAACGGAAATATGTGTGTGAATGTACTCTTTACAGAAGGTTTTCATTTCACACTGATTCTCTCGTGTAGTAAATAGAGCTTATGAATGAAAGGAAAGGGATCTAGAGCTGGAGAAGCAGAAACTGTCTTCTGCTGGAGAGAATTCTGAAAATAGTTTTGGCTAAATTATGGGATGCTCTTTAGAGGGAGAGGGCATAGTGTTGTTTTGGCATTCCTTTCATCCCCTGGGAACTAAAGGCATTTAGGGCTTCTTAGGTGGCATAGTTGGAGAAGGCAATGGCACTCCACTCCAGTACTCTTGCCTGGAAAATCCCATGGACGGAGGAGCCTGGTAGGCTGCAGTCCATGGGGTCGCTAGGAGTCAGACACAACTGAGCGACTTCACTTTCACTTTTCACTTTCACTCATTGGAGAAGGAAATGGCAACCCCCTCCAGTGATCTTGCCTGGAGAATCCCAGGGACCGGGCAGCCTGGTGGGCTGCCGGCTATGGGGGGTTGCACAGAATCAGACAAGACTGAAGCGACTTAGTAGCAGCAGCCCCAGGTGGCATAGTGGTAAAGAATCCGCCTGCCAATTCAGGAGACACGGGTTCGATTCCTGGGTTGGGACGATCCCCTGGCGAAGGAAATGGCGACCCACTCCAGTATTCTTGCCTGGAAAATTCCAGGGACAGAAGAGCCTGGTGGGCTTCAGTCCATGGGGCCACGACGAGTCAGACACAAGTGAGTGACTGCACACACAAAGGCATTTAGGTAGTCGGCAGGCAGTCCTGGAAAGAACAGAAGACCTGAGATCACACAGGATGGGTGTTGGTCTTTGTCTTGCCTCTTAATGGAGGTATGAATCCAGGCAAGACCATCTTTGTGCCTATTTGCCTCAAAATACAACAAATAAGAAATTTCATTGAAAAGATTTATTAAACACTCATTGTGTGTGGAGTGTGATTTTTGTCATTAAAGGGAGAGATGGCTTCCATCCTCAAGGGATATCTAAGTCTTTTTGAAGACTTAGAAGGGCTTCCATTGTGGCTCAGCTGGTAAAGAACCTGCCTGCAATGTGGGAGACCTGGGTTTGATCCCTGGATTGGGAAATTCCCCTGGAGAAGGGAAAGGTTACCCACTCCAGTATTCTGGCCTGGAGAATTCCATGGACTTTACAGTCCATGGGGTTGCAAAGAGTGGTCGCAAAGAGTTGGACACGACTGAGCAACTTTCACTTTCACTTTGAAGACTTAAGTAAAATTATATTGTTCTCAATTAAAAAGGTATAGGTAAGTAAAGCAGGTGGTCCTCAGTAGAAGTGGGCTTGATGTGGTTTCATCAGAATATTTATGACAGTCTCCCTTTGTTTCTAATTTTTTGTTTCTTTCAATATTGAAAGAACCTGATTTTTCATAGCTTGCAAACAAAATACTTTTTGCACTTTTGTGTTTTTTGCTGTTAGATAATAGTTATTTTTGAATGCCCATCTACCTCCTACTTAAAGCATTCTTGCTGGAAATGCATACCTCAGTGCTTATGTAACCTACCAAACAGCTTCCAGGAACTTAGAAGTGAGGGGAAGATGCTGTAATGACTTTTTTCCCTACTATTTTTGATATCTGTCTTATTTTTAGTAGACTTGCTGGTTTATGGAGAGAATGTTTTGACATCTACTTGTTTTATATTGTGCAGATTAGAAATATTTCTCACATTGTTTTAATTTTATCAAAACTCTGAAATACTCAGCTTTGAGATCCTATGAAATTTAACAAATAATTTTTCTGAGTCCTTTTACAAGAAAAGAATAAAACACCAAGGAAACTTGTTAATATCGGTATTTACTTATTTTGAAATTATGGTTTATAGTGAACATCATGAATTTGAATAGTCACATAAGATTATTTTAATACCTCTTCTTGTCTCCTTTACACTCTATCAGTGTATGGTTATAAGTAGAGGACTTGTATGAAAGAGAAGTGTTCAGTGTTCACTTCAACACAGAATAGGATCTCACTTGAAGGCTTATAGAACATCTGAGAATTGGGTGAGAATTGTTTTTTGGCCAGTTGGTTTCATTGAATATAGATCAATGATCAATGTGGTTAAACCACAGAATGTTTGATCATTCTACTCACTGACTGTAATTTTTAGTATTGATCTTAAAACTATGTATATGAACAAGGAGAATTTTTATTTTTTTTATTTTATTTTATTTTATTTTCCATTTATTTTTATTAGTTGGAGGCTAATTACTTTACATCATTGCAGTGGTTTTTGTCATACACTGAAATGAATTAGCCATGGATTTACATGTATTCCCCATCCCGGTCCCCCCTCCCACCTCCCTCTCCACCTGATCCCTCTGGGTCTTCCCAGTGCACCAGGCCCGAGCACTTGTCTCATGCACCCAACCTGGGCTGGTGATCTGTTTCACCCTAGATAATATACATGTTTCAATGCTGTTCTCTTGAAACATGGAGAATTTGTAAGTTACTTAGGGTCTGTTTATTTTAAGGCTAATACATTTTTCTAATCTGAGTTAATTTTAGAATGTACTCAGGTTATTGGACATTGATTGTTATTTGTGGAAGTCATAAGGGTTTTCTCTTTGTTCTGGTCTAGTAAATTTCTAGCTTATTAATTTGGTTCTTTTATATTATGTTCATTTAAGCATTTGTGCTTGGTTTTAATTTTGCAATATTAGTTTGACTCTTGTTAAGCAACCACATTTATTCTCCATATATGTCGTACAAAGACTCAAGAGCTGCTCCATTCAAGTATTTGAATTAGTGAACATAGATTCAGATAACTGAGTTTAGACACTGTGTACAAAAGCCATGCACATTGTTTAGAGGCTTCCAAGCTTTAAAAGTATCAGTCTAAGTCAAGAGCTTTCATGCCTTTCCACATGATAATAGTGTTTTATTAGTGAAACTATAACTGCCAAAATCCATCATGCATTTATTGACACTTGAAACATAAAAGCTGTGTTTTATTGACCATGACATTTATATCCATTTGGAAATTTATAGTGTGTACATATGAGCTATTTGTTCTGTCTGTATACAAATCCTTGTCTACTCAGGGATTTTGTAGACTTTTACACCAACTATAAATCCTCCAGAGGTCAGCACCTATAGGATGGGAACATCAACTTCAGAGTAATTTTAGTGCTCTGTTTCTGTTATTCTTATTAAAAGTGTGAGTATTCTTTAATTTGAAGTTGAAATACAAGTTTAAAGGAAACCTCAAATCACCAAAAATCTAGAGTAGTATTGCTGGGTAAATATTTTTTAAAACTAAGTTGAAAATTAGAATTACTTCTTACTTATTCCAAAGGGTATAGAAACACACAATATAGAATATTGCTAACAAGTGGTAACATTTAATATTAATAATTTTGGCTTTGTATTAAATTAATAAGGTATAAGACCTGGGACCTTATTATAAATCTTTTACATGATACAGCTGTTGACTGTTTCAAAGTCTCAGGCTGAATGACGTATCTGGGGAAAGACTGTCTCCAGAGTGAACTGAGGTCTGCTTTGAATAGTAGGTTCCAGTCTTTGCTGATTTATTCCCATTTTTAGATCTTTGCTTATGTTCTCTTCTGATTGAGCTCAGTGTGTGGTTTAGCACAATAAAAACAAGCAAACAAAATATTATATACTTACCAAATTATAGGCTATTTGATATAATGAATGTTTCATCTGAAATGTATGTCAGATTTCCTGCTTCAAGTACTGTAAGCCTGGGATTCCACTGTAAATTCAGGACAGGGGAGTCATTGGAGAATTAATTAATAATTTCCACTGGTGTGAAAGAAGGATATGTTCTTGGCTTCCTTTCTTTCTTCCTTACCCCTTAAAGACATACACTGCTTTTAGATGAGTTTAATGAGTTTCTCTCTGAAACTTGGTGGAGGGTACATGGATTTCACTATATTCTATAGATTTTTGTATGATAATAAAGTATGTATGATAATAATAATAAATGGTAAAAGATCTGGTTGTTTTTCCTAATACCAGAGAGAAGGGCTTTCATTTAACTATTATGAAACCAAAGGTTTTTACTTGTTCCCTCCATTATTTATTCCTTTCTCCCTTCCTTTTTTTCTTTTTTGGTAAATGATGTCATACAACCTCTGCCCCTCCCCTGATATTGACATATGGTTAATAATCACATACAATAGAACACCTCAACTCAGTTACTTTGTGTACATTTACAGACAGTCTAGTTTGGGAGGCAGGCAGTCCTGGGGTTTGGATTTGCTATTTACTAGATATGGGAATTTGAGCAAGTTACCTAGCTTCTCTGGACCTTATGTTTTTAATTCATTAGGTGTAGATTGTAATCATACCTTGGGCTTCCCTGGTGGCTTAGCTGGTAAAGAATCTGCCTGCAACGCGGGAGACCTGGGTTAGATCCCTGGGTTGGAAGGATCCCCTGGAGAAGGGAAAGGCTATCCATTGCAGTAATCTGGAGAATTCTATGCACCGTATAGTTGGTGGGGTTGCAGAGTCGGACACGACTGAGCGACTTTCACTTTTGCATTTGTGGTGAAGGTGAGATATAATTGCATATGTAAAGATTGTGGTGTGTAGGAGGTGTTCCGTGTACACTGATTTCCGTTTTCTTCTCTTCTTTGGTGCTCTCCAGTGCCTTGCACGCAGTGAGGCACATAGAAGGCACTCAGAGATACTTAATATTTGACCATATACTACATCTTAATAAAATTTTAAATTATTCTTAGGAGGACTTCCGACTGCATTTTAGAAATATTTCAAGAATCATGGACTGTGTTGGTTGTTTGAAATGCCGACTGTGGGGAAAGCTTCAGGTAAGCATATCAAGCTCAATCCTGTTTTCTTTCTTTGCACAAGGAATTTTCTGATTTTTCTTTTTTTCTTATTTCTATTATAGACTCAGGGTTTGGGCACTGCTCTGAAGATCTTGTTTTCTGAGAAACTGATTGCAAATATGCCAGAAAGTGGACCCAGTTATGAATTCCATCTAACCAGACAAGAAATAGTATCATTATTTAATGCATTTGGAAGGTTAGTTTGCACCAAAATTTTTTTTTGCTAGCCAAGTAAGTCTAATACAACACATATACTCTCAGATAAAACTGGGTAGGGAATATCCTGTTTAGTGAAATTATCTCACTACAAAATTCTGTGATCTTATAAAATACTTTAACTTTGTAGATACGTGCAATCATTAGATGATATTCTTTATTGTCACCTCTTGATTCTTGTAATCATTATTAATTCACTGAGTGCTTCAGTATTCATCTTAGGGAATTTGTAAATATTTTCTAATCTATAGTGCTACCCAAATGTTTTTTTGAAGGTCCTAGAAAAAATCATGTTGTGTAATGTAGGTGTACATATAAAATTTGTGAATTTGCCATTGTGTAAAAACATGCTTTTAAAAATAATTTTCATCAAAATGATTAGAAAATAAAATTAGGAACTTACATTATAAAATTTAAGTACAGATGCATTTCCTCCTGGCCTATCATATCTAAAGAATGCAGAGATTTATTAAAAAAAAAGAAACTAACATTTTCTAAGGACTATATTTCTTCACTTAAAAAATCATGATTTAATAATTGACCTTCAGAATTATTCTTTAGTACACAGATGCTTGACAGTTATATTTGAGTATTTTGCTGTTTTTTTCATGGTGTAGAACAGAGCTAAAGTATACTTAAAATAACAAACTTTTTATAAAAGTTAGTGAAAACAATTTGGTCACACGTTTACTGTTCTCACTCTTTATAGTCCAAAGGCTTTGATTTTTTGTATATTTATTTAATAAATGTGGTAAATTGATTAGTTTAAGTGTTCATATAGTTATACATATTTAAAATACATATTTTAATGCTTATGTACTTTATAAAGTATATACCTATACTTTATATATAGGTATAAAGTATATACCTATATATTTTAAGTACTAAGCATATGAATATACTTATGAATACTTAAAAATACAATACTTATGTACTTTATAATTTTGTACTTTGAAACTTTAAACTTAGTTGTGACTAATTAAAAATAACTGATTTTGGGGGAATGTTATCTTAGTTTTAATATGTCAAATTAAGAACAAAAGTGCATCAAAACAGAGTAAATGTTTTATGTACCTTTATGTTTGTTGAAATAAATTAACATTTTTTTCTGTGTTCTGAAAATGCAAAGTGAATAACTTGTAAAGTTATCTAAAATAGTTTCTGAGTGAAATTTATTTTGTTTACAGAATTTCAACAAGTGTGAAAGAATTAGAAAACTTCAGGAACTTGTTACAAAGTGTTCATTAAAGAAAGCAAGTTGAAAAGTGCCTATTTCTGGACAGTGGAGGCCAAAGAATGGAATTTCATTCAAAGGCATAAACAGCAATGAGAGTCTTAAGTCAAACATTTTATATAAAGCTGCTTTTGTAAAAGGGAATTATGTTGTTTTAAATAACAATTTTTTAAATTGTGTTAAATCTATGTGTAATATTATTGTGAGTAAAAGTAAAACTTTGATAATGTGGTACATCTTTAATGTTTAATATTAAGTAAAATCATCAGGATTATCAAATTCACATAAGGTAAATCTAAGTAAATGATGTTTTAAGTCTCTCAAACTAGAATTTTGTGTAAGAAGACATAATATAAATTAAACTGTGGCCAATGTGAAAAGTGCTTATAGGAGAATGTTATGACCCATTATTAACAACCTAAATTACTAACAGCCTAAATGTTCAACATTTAGGGTGAACAGATTTGGTAAATAAAAGTACAGAATGCCTTGTTAAATTTGAATTTCAGATAAACAACAGTTTTTTAATATAAGTATGTTGCATGTAATATGGGACAAACTTATACCAAAAAATTATTCCTCCTTTACCTGGGATATACCTGGGAGTCCTGTGTTTTATTTGGCAACTCTACAATACATTGGTATGAAACAAATCACTTTTAGAATTATTTTGCTATTTTGATTGGCTTATTTTTGTGTGTAGAAAGATACAATGATAATTCAAGGGTATAAGGGATTTCTAAGCAGTGTGAAAAGTTGAATAGATTTATATATTTATTCTCATAGTACTTTCCCTGATTCTGAATAAAAATTTGGGGAAACTTTTTATTTTTATATAATTTCAAATTTATAGAAATGTCTCCAGGATAGTATCAATACAAAGAACTCTTTACCAGATACCTTAATTGTTCATATTTGCTTTCTCTCTCATGCTTTCTCTGTATATATACATGCATATACTATTTTTTTCTCAATCATTTGAAGAGTCAGTTATAGGCATCATGTCCTTTGAACCATGTGTAATATGAATAAGGTTTCAATGATTTTTTTTTTTTCAGGAAAAATATCTGGAACTATATACTACTATAAGCCTTAGAATAAGGAATCATTTTGAGTTCCAACCTAAAATTCTTTTTTGAATTTTGTTACCCTTTTAATGCTGTATAGTCATAGGCATAAAATTTGGGGGTTTTGTATGTGATATTCATTTCTTTCTTCTCCCCATAACTAAACTGTAATTTTTAGAAGTCTTGAAGGGAAGATCTTCAATGATAAAAAATATTTGAAGGGGTTTAGGAATTTATAGCACATGGTAATTGTAGGAAAAAGGGAAATGTATACCTCAAAATCATGGGCCCTTTCTGTATGTCTTAGCAGGTATATCAGGTTGAGATGTAACATTATTAATAAAGCAGGGTTTATTTATATAATGGCTTAGAAATGCTACTTAACACTACTATATGCTTTTTCTTCTTTATGTCCCTACAGCCTGATACAGTGTCAAGCACATAGTAGGTGTCCAATAAATATTTGAGTGAATGTATGAAAATGTATTCAATATATTTAAATTAATTATCACAGAACTAAGTTTAATAATATATGTCCTATTTCCTTTCCTCCCTAATTTGAATAGGGCAGGAAAAGAAAGATATTAACCTACTATGAAGTCAGTATTCTTAGAGACTCAAAAGACTATGAAGTGAGCACCAAATATAGAAGTGTAAGGACGTTTGTGGTACTCTGAAAATTTGGTAGATGGGTTTCAGTGGTTATTTTGCCTATGTAACTCTTTAACTCTCATCTCATGTCCCTACTCTCTCTTTTTGTAAAGCCAAACTTTGGAAAGAATTTCCCTGTCTTCACTTTGGCCCCCTCCACTTGCTCCTTTAACTGAAATTTGGCTTTTTTTCTTAGTAGTTAACAATCTTGTCTTTTGAAGTCTAAAATCCCAATTCTAAATCTATGGTTTGGTTCACAAGCTATTTCTTACTTGACTTTTTTTCTGCATTTGACACTGCTGACAGCCCCTTCCTTAAAAACCTCTTTTCCACCAGGTTTCTTGTATTTCCCTCACTTCTGAGTGCCTCTTTTCATGTATTCTTTAAGTTATTCCTTAGGCTTTTATTCCTGCCGTCTTCAACACCACCACTTCTCACTCTTGAGTCCTTCCAATTCAGTGATCTCTAAATCTGTATCTTTAGCCTAAACTTCTCAGACCATCTGCCTTCTACGCATCTTCACTTGGTTTCCCACAGACACCTGTGTGCATCTTAAAAAGTTACTCTGCCCCAAACCTACTCGTATGCTTATGCTCCTTCCTTTGGTTAATTTTAGAACCATCATCATTTAAATTCTCTAGGCTAACCCTTCCACTCCCCTGTCCAGCCAGTGTCTAATCTCTATGGATTTTATTTCCATATCTCTGATATATCACTGTCTTTCCATTTTGATTGCTCTTCCCTAAAGTACAAACCTTTTTCCTTGTACCTGACCTGTCTCCTCTCTTGCTTCACAATGTTACCAAAGTGGGCTCTCTATAAGCACTGTCACACTGTTACTCCCTGCTTAACACACAGTGAACTCATGACCCTTTAGGAAGAAACCAGACCTCTTTCCTTGGTGAACAAAGTGCTCTGATAGGGGTCTTTCTGTTTCCGCCAACCTCATGTTCTGCTAAAGCTGACTTACAGTTCTTCAGATGCAGCATTGTCAGGCCTCCACAGCTCGGTGCCTGCTGTTCTCTATCACGTGCCCTAGCCATCCTTCCCCACCTGGGAAACTTCTGTGTATCCTTGCAGGTCCAGCATAGCGATCACTTCTGTAAATTCGCCCTTGCTCCATCCAAGGAGGATCATCTAAGTTCTTTTGTGTCACCACTGTAATTACAACCTACCTCTACTGTGTCACTTATTGTACTGTATTGTTTTTGTTTTTTAAAGTCTCCTTTACTAGAATGTGAGCTCCTTAAGGGCAGGAAAAGGAACTTTATCCATGTTTGCATCTCCACAGCATAGTTTTTGGCATATGAACACTTAATAAATGTTTGTTGAATAAATTGATTTTAAAATGACAACTTTATTATCACTAGTGATCATACCTTCACTCCAAATATTCTTCACAGTAAGTCAGTAGGCACCCAAGGATTTCTGGACTTTAGGTGATCATTAAAGCTTCTGAAACTATATTAGAAATTTGGTGTGGTTTTGGCAAGTTATGAAAGGGGCCTGTTATGGAAAAAATGGTAAGAACTCTTTTTTTTCAGGGGAAAACATTCCTGAAGAATTTCTTGAATAATCAAAGAAAAGCTGCCCAGGATTATGAGCTAGATAAATTTCTACCTGTTTAAGAATCTAAGGGGAAGGAGAGAGGTGTTGTAAGTTGTTTCACACAAGGATTTTTCTTAGCTTAATGTTTGAATAAACATGTACTATCTAATATGGGCTTCCCAGATGATGCTTCCCAGGTGGCGCTAGTGGTAAAGAACTCACCTGCCAATGCAGATAGATGTAAGAGACGCAGGTTCAATCCCTGGCTCAGGAAGATCCTCTAGAGGAGGGCACAGAAACCTACTCCAGTATTCTTGCCCGGAGAATCCCATGGACAGAGGAGACTGGCAGGCTGTATAGTCCATAGGGTCGCAGAGTCAGACATAACTGAAGTGACTTAGCACGCATGCACATACTATCTAATAACTTTGGTATTTTAAAGTATGGCATTTCATATCGAATTAGTATATAACACTAATTAGTGTACAGCTAATGTTCTACATACAGTTATCTCAATGTTCAGTACATACAGTTATCCACTTATACAGTAGTTCGACTTTAGATTTTTCAACTTGACAACAGTGCAAAAGTGATACACATTCAATAGAAACTGTACTTCCACTTTTGAATTTTGCCCCCCCACCCCGGCTAGTGATATGCAGTAGGGACCGCTCTCATGATTTGGGGCAGTGGCAGCACCACAGCAGCCCTCAGCCACTCACTCACAAGGGTAAACAACCCATACACAACCATTCCGTGCCAAATACAACTGTTTTTTCACTTTCAGTACAGTATTCAATAACTTATACATGATATTCAACACTCTATTACAAAACAGGTTTTGTGTTAGATGGTTTTGCCCAACTGTAGTTTAATATAAGTGTTTTGAGCATGTTGGTTGGATGGCATCACCGACTCGATGGACATGAGTTTGAGCAAACTCCGGGAGTTGGTGATGGACAGGAAGGCCTGGTGTGCTGCGGTTCATGGGGTCGCAGAGTCAGACACAACTGAGCAATTGAACTGAACTGAACTGAAGGAAGGCTAGTCTAGGCTGTGATGTTCTAGGCCAGCTGTATTAGATGCATTTTCACTTAGGACAAGCCAAGGAATATCTGTAATTACAAGCTCATAAAAGTAAGCTGTCATTTGTAACTAGGTATTTTTCTCTTTCCTGTGGTTGGCTTCTTATACTTACATGACAGAAACTCAATGGGTGTAGTCTGTTAAAAGAGATTAAGAAAACCAGACCTCCAAATAAAAGCACAAACACTTTTATTTTTAACAGTAGTGTTTTGTTACAATTTAGTGAAACAAATAAATACATTCATTGGCCACAGCTATACTTTTATAACCAGTTTGACACTGATTTTATAGCTGAGAAACACTGTTAAACAATAAAAAAGGCAGCTATGCTTAAAAAAGCCACTTTAGCTATAAATTACATCTTTCATAAAACTACTACCAGCTATAGTGAGTGGCAAGAGTTTCAAAATTAATGACCATCCAAATGAAACAATAAAAACAAGTACTGCTAATCACTGTAGAATTATACACTTAAGCAATGAAATTCTCTTTTCTAGTTAAGTGAACCAAAAAGAAGGTTTGAAATTGTCATCATGTGCTTCAGTGCAGGATGAACAGGGGATCGATAGCCCTTTGATTTGATAAACAACTCCTTCTTTCAAGACCAGACTTAAAGTGCTCCTAGTGCTTTGGAATTTTTAAGCAAAAACTGGGCCAGAAGCTTCTCTTTCTTTGTCTTTGGTGATTTATTGTGGGAGATGTCTATAAGGAGACAAATGCAAGAATTCAGGTTCCCTGGTCAAGGATAAGAAATTTACAAATCTCGGATTTGGAAGAAATCAACTAATGCAACTGAAAAAACCAGGTTATTTTATCTGAAATATTTTTAAAAAGTAATCCTCACTTATCTGGTCAAATAGGAGCATTATGTAAGGAAGTCTGGGGAAGCTTTCCTAGAAAACATGTATCACTTTGAACCCCAAGGATTAACAAAGGCAACACATCTTCTTAGTTAGCTCTAGATAATTAAATACCTAACATTATTAAGAAAATAAATAGTTGGCATTCTGAAAAGAAACCCAGTAACTGAAGTTGCAGTAAAAATACACTCAGGTAAGTGCATGGTATGTTGTCCTGTTATGACCTATAAATTCTATACCATAAATTTTTAAATAATTTGGTTGCATTGAGAGAATTTACTATAAATCCAAAGTGACATGTATAAGTTTATGCTTTGGACTGAATTCAGAATTATTTTGTATGATAAAAAGATGAAATTTCTTTGGCTGTGTACCAGCTTCCCAAGAGATCAAAAGCATTAAAAATTTCATTTTTTTCCTGGGGTTTCACGTACTGTTATACTTCTGTGAAGTTACTGAATCAATCAAAAAGTTGAAAGATGTTTTATGTAAGAGAAGAAAAAGAATATAACTTTGTAATCAAAGTAAAGACAGAAAAAGATAGTTGTATTAGTTCCAGTTCTGAAGAAATAGATTAGCAAATAACCGTATATAGTCATCTTTAAGCATGTTGTGACAGCTTCCCAATGTTGCCTTTTACCTTGGGCTCTTGAGGTATTTAGCATCTACTTTTTTCCATATAGACATTGGTAGAAAGTGCATTTTAAAATTCTCTATCACTTTAGCCTACCATATATATATATATATATATATATTTTAGATCTAAGATAGGACGTTCAAGATAGTTTTAATGTAATTATGAAAGTACTCCAATATTGTTAACCACTGGCTTTTATACTTACCTAGTTAGTACCTTCACATGAGTTGTTCATTTAGTCTAGTGCTGGAATTAATTTTAATTAAATTTAATTTGGTTTTGCTCATATGCAAGATATTAAAATGAAAACTAAAGGAAGAATTATATGTATTACAAAGTATTGCACTTGAGTTCACTGCAATAACATATCATGATTTAATTTACCTGAGGATAATCCTGATTCATAGGAATAATAGGTATGACTTGCTATATTTTATTTCAGCTAATTGAATGCCTTTGAAAATGTATTCATGTTTTAACTTAGAATTGTATATTTTCTGAATAATTCTTAAATGCATCTGTAAACTTTAGTCCTAAGAAGTTTCTATCAATATCTCCCTACAGAAAAATTGCTGTTGTTTTCTTGAAGAATCATGCTTAAACTACTGCATTATCTTAACCATACAGGATAATCACTTGTCCAATTCTACTCAAAGTAGCCACGTGATTTTGATTGGTATACTTTGCTCTTGAAGAAATGACTGTGGCTTTCCAAAGAACACTGCTGGTCCTCACTGTAAAGGACTACTAGTATCATTTCTTTATAATGATTGTTTGAATAATTTCAGTTAGTACTGTACAATCATGCTTAAAAGAACTATCTTCAATGATTACATATTCTCAACAGATCTTTCAAAAGAATGATACATTTTTATGCCTTCATTCTGTGCACTGTTGACACTATAAACTTTATTGGGTAAGAATTCCACATGGACTACACTGCTGGATATACAGGCTTTGATTTTTGTGAGGAAACTGCCTCCTGATTTGATGTACAACATAACATCCCAGTGTGAAGACTGGGGATGACTTTGGGGACTGCAGTGTACTCTTTCAGAACAAAGATAAAAGTGCAAATATGCGTTTGATATTCCAAAGTCAGGATGTTTGGAGGCCATCAAGTCCCTTAAGATCTAATCCTTCTTTTCTCTGGCTCCAAATTTTCCATTGTACTTCATTTTACCAGGACGAGGTCAAAAGTAACAGCTGTGTCCTCCACTGGATTCAGCCACATTTCCAGGCTTTGTTTTCAGTTGTAACGGATAATGGAATGTTTATGCAGATGGGATTTAAACACATTGAATATACACATTTATGAAAAATGATTGAAGAATCACAACTTGGTAATGCTATCAGTTTTGTGGTGTCACGTATAAGCTATGGTGACTGTTCATGTCTAAGTTACTACAAGTAAAGAGCAAAGGAGCAGTGTCTGTCAGAGGTCCATGCAGGTGGGGAGAGACTGCGTAACTGCTGCTGCCACACCCCGTCATGGTGCCATACCAGCCCAAGCCTTGTGAGTTTGACAAACTGCAAAAAAAGGGCAAAAAAGGACTGCGGTCAGGATACAATAACTCATGTTGGCACTTCTAGTTCTCAATGAATTATGTTCTTTGCCAAATAATGGCTTCCTACAAAATTCAATAACTTATATCTAATATCCTTGATTCTATATCACATATTAGAAAAGGATGAATAAAGACCATTCAAAATTAGTAAAACTTGATTATCAGATGATAATAATAATAGTAATATAGTGCTTATTATTACTGGGCTTTATTCTAGGACATACATATGTATGTTTACACACACATGCACTCAATCTTTACAACAATCCTATCAGATAGGTTCTATTATTATCCCTATTTTACAGATGAAAAACAGACAAAAGATTGAGGTTAACTTGTCCAGATGAAGTGAGGATTAGAGAAAATACTATATCAAACTCAAAGCATTATGTAATGTGCATTAAGGCTTTCTCTTTGCACTGATACAAAGCTAAAATGGTATGGACTTGTAATGATTTTGGAACAAAGAGGGCACTGAAGATTTCTTATAGTAGCTAAGCTTCCTAGGAGTTTTATTTAGGGTTTCTCTGTGGATTTTGAACAGCACAGTAGATATGGAAACATATATAATCACTATAATAGTATTTCTTCTCTGCTCACCAACCCCCATCAGCTTTGAACTAACGAGGGATCCTGAAATGAAAGGGTGCCATTTTACCCCCAAAGGCATTTCTCAAATAAAGGTAACATATGGACTTAGGAGCAGATGATAATTCTTTATAGTACAGGTCTCATCGTGGGTTTAACATCTACTGTTCTATGCGCCAATGTTAAATGATCTTATATATTGATATGTATCAGCAAATCACCCTTTTCATATTTGGGTTAAAGCTTTTTAAAAAATCTATGTTGGTACTAATTCAGTGCAACTACCTTCCTTCTCTTGAACTTCCCAGTCTTGGCAAGTCATCATCACTATCATATCGTCTCGGATTGTCGAAGAAGTATGCTCTGGAACTATAACTGTGACTATTTATCATGCCAGCAGGTGCCTGTGAACAATGTAGTAGATAGAATATGAAGATTTACTTTTCAACTAAGAAAGGAGGTTGAGACCTATAATCCTTTTTAGTTTTTGCCAAAAATAGAAAATCAATATAAATGTTCTATTATTTTTAAAAATAAGAGCAGGCATTAGGTAATGTTATGATATCATACCAAATTCTGGTTTAATCTCTGTGCCCGGAAAAACAGTACCACTGACCATGCTGGCACATGTTCCCACAGAAAGAGGACCATTCCAAATACAATATACTCTTCTCCACTTACGTCTTTTACGTGAGCCTGTGAATAGAATATGGTCGAGCAGTTTTAAAATCAGTCTTACATGTAAGGAATCACCCTCCACAAACAACTTGCTTCAGGTAGGGTAAGTTAAAAGATCAACTTACAAGCACATAGAACTCTAAATTAATTTTCCATATTTTATGGCTTCTCATGTAATGATATTTGTTCTTTAAAGATCATAAAATGCTTTGATGTTAAGTAGAATAAAGAGGTATTAACTTTTTCAACACATCAATTTATGAAAATATTTTTAATACATGGGTAGTGGTGTGGGTGGTTTAGGTCCCATAGTCTGAGGAGGGTTATAGAAGAGACTACAGGTTCCAGCTCCTCCAAAGGCAAAATAATCGCACTTACCCTGAGTTACACCTGTAGAGAAATGTAACATGCAAGTCGCTCAGCTCTGTTGCTATTTAAAAACATGCTTTTGGGCTTAAATTCCATGTTGAATTTGTTTCTATTCAAATAGATGTGGGGAAAGAGAAATGGGAAAGGAGTGAAGGGAATCTGCCACACGGAACCAAATGTGAAAATTCCTTCTTTGAAAGATAATTAAAATTCTGATAAAATAGCATTCCAGAATGCTTAAATTCAGTACAAAGTTAAATAAATATAAATAAAGATATGACATGCACCTAGGTCAGACTATTTCTAGCAGAAGGATGGAGAATGCTGGGAGGTCAAATATGCATAGCAAGGGTACCAGGAGTCACTAGAGAAAACACCTAGATACCCAAGGAACTATGAAAGCACTCCCATTTTCAAGACTGACAATGTCAGATTTTCATAAAAGTCATACATCTAAAACTGAGCCAAATATTTAGGTTATATGTAGTTCTTGGGTAAGAGAGAATTAATTTCATCCTAGCAAATTAAAGACATAACCATATTTACTAGCTAATGACAGAATATCAGCTTATCTAGAGATACTTAAACAATATCCTTTACAAATTAGTAAAATAGATTTATAACCAATAGATTTAATGTTAATATTATGCTGTTAATATTATTCACAAAAAGAAAAGAAAATACTACTTTGGGAGAAGTTCTCTCTGAAGAATGATTTCAACTGCCACATATGAATGAGAATTTTTAAACATAGAACTTTGAAGTATGATTACTGATAGTGGCTAGAGATTCCATAAAAGTGTTTGTAAGTCAAACACTTAAAACATTCTCCTAGTCAGGCTAACTTCATTATCATACACTTAGATTCGCAATACATGCTAGATTCTTACCTTATCCGAAAGGTTATCCCAGCCATAATTAAATGGGCTTTCTAATGTATCCTGAGATATGGTGATCACCACCAAATTATAACATGCTCTTGAAGAGTACAGAAGAATGACCACAGAGCCTACGACAACAGTCTGGCATAGAGACATACCCTAAAAGAAATAAAAGTCATCATCACAATAGCCTACACATTTGTCATGATATATATTGTCCACATACAATATAGTCACCTCTTGCAATGTACCCCTAGAAAACGCTGAGTGAGTGCCAGTTGAAATCAATTCTTGATTATCATGCTTTACAATTCCTATTTTTAGAACCACTTGTGTTTCAACTACCCTGTTAATACATGTAAGTTTTTTGTCAACTTGCCTAGCAGCAGCTGGAGGAAGATTTTTGTTCAGCCAAGGTTACCTTACTTCCTTAAGTAATATATGAATAAATAAGTTGGCAAATGATCGATGTTAATCAGAGAGGTAGTTTAGGCACAATGAGAAAAGAATGGGAAATAGAAACATTAGTCCATTTGATACATTTAATTTCCAATAAGAAGCAAAATTAGAATAGAAACAATTCCTGTACTATTTGCTTTGTTCTATTAGAGTTGATGTTAATCCTCTGTTGATATTGTTATGTTGATGGCAAAATGATGCAGGCACCCAAATGCACTTTCAAATCCAAAATATTTTAATACTAAAGCTTTCACCATTTCCTGAAATATAGAAAGAAAGCCTAATATAACAGTGGTTATAACAGTGGTTGTCAACTAGAATGTATATATTGGAGAAGGGTGTGGTATCCACTTTTGCAGAGATTCTTAACCTGAAATATTTGAATATAGCTGGTTTTCTTTGTAATCCTATTTATTTTAAAGACATTATTCTGAAAAGTGACACAACTGCCAAACATATTGTGAAAAACACCTAATATGGTGTTTTGGAAGTTTGTATTTTAGTGTCACAATGATTAAGCGGAAATGATGGCATTCACCACACAAGGGTCAGGGCTGCTGGATGATTGACAGTTTATAGGAGAGTTCTCCACATAAGAGAATCCTCTGACCTTTATAACTTCCCCATGTCCTCTTGGACATTTATGAAGATGAAAAACTTATGCATAATGATCTGAGCCAGAACCCAAATCTGTTTTAAATATAAAGTTTATGCTTATCTAGTTTTAAATAGATGCCAACATATCCAGAAACACACATAGCATGTAAATTGAGGGAAATTTGTCCTTTGGTTTTTGTTCGGACCTTTATCAAGAACAGTCAAATATTTCAGAAAGGTGTGAAAGTGACAGCAATACTGCTTGTGGTATATAGTGCAAAAGCAACACACCTGTAACAGTCTGCATTCATAGTCTCATTCACAATTTCTATGTGTAGATACAAGCATCTGACCACTATAGCATACCCTCAAATCTACACATTCAAATATTTATTAATTACTTTCCTTTTATTTTCTCATTATATTACAATTAGGGCAGTTGCACTGAATTTTTGAAGTTATGTGTGTATGTATATTAAACAATCTATTAATGTCAGCATAGAAATAGGTTATTAAAATTTATGAGAAGGTTTCAATGGGTTTGGTAGGATTGAGAAATATTATAACTGACATGCTCATAAGAACAACACATTTTTAGAGGTGAATAAGAAGAAAGCAAACTTAAAGACGAAATATATCTTGAAAGATTTTGGGATAGCAATAGCGTATCTTCTCTGAGCTAATTCACTATTACAGCAAAAAGTATGTGTGAAAATAAAATCCTAGCAAGATTAAATTTTTTAATCAAGACTAAGCTTTTCCACAATGTGCATTTTTATTGTGCATATTTATTATGAATCCAAAAAAAAATGTTGCTAATAAAAAGCTAATCTAAAAGCAATCCAGTTTCCATTTTAAAAGTACTATATTATTACAGAAAAGTTAAGTAACAAGAAAAGTTAGAATGCTGTAAGCATTATCATCCTTTAATATGCTGCTGCTGCTGCTGCTAAGTCGCTTCAGCTGTGTCCGACTCGGTGCGACCCCATAGACGGCAGCCCACCAGGCTCCCCCGTCCCTGGGATTCTCCAGGTAAGAACACTGGAGTGGGTTGCCATTTCCTTCTCCAATGCATGAAAGTGAAAAATGAAAGTGAGGTCGCTCAGTTGTGTCCGACTCATAGCGACACCATGGACTGCAGCCTACCAGGCTCCTCTGTCCATGGGATTTTTCAGGCAAGAGTACTGGAGTGGGGTGCCATTGCCTTCTGCAATCCTTTAATATAACCATAAGTAAATTTATAGTTACTGCTTTAGAAATACTATGACTTCTAAAAGTAATAACATCTTATAATATGGAGTTTCTCTACTTACACTTGTAAATATTAGAAAAAACTGCAAAGAAGTGTGAGCAAAGAATAGTATCAGAGCAATTAACAAAGCAAAATTGCAGCCAAATTACATACATATAATAGAGAAAGAAGTCCACTAATTTAGAAAACAAATTAAGATTCTTCCCACAAAATATAGGATCATAAAACAAAAGATAAGCCACATGGAAAGTGCTATTGGAAAGTTAGAGAAAATTTTTCTAAATTGAATAGTTATGACAAACAATTCCCTCAGGAGCAATCCTCAAAGAATGATTCTCCCTTCCTCTACTTCAGACATCTGCAAACCATTGTTTTAGAAATTCCACACTTGACAAGTAAAGAAGAGTTAGACCTCACTCCAGTATGCTTACCACTGACTAGAGTTCAGTATTTGTTTATAGGTACTTTTAGGATGCAGATATGCAGAAACCTCAACTTACCATTCATTGAATTTTGACAACTGGTGTATACAAACAAAGAACATTACCATCACTCTCGAATGTTCTCTGACATCCGTTCCCACCAGCCAACCCCTCAGACACAAATATTCCCCTGCTTTTGTTTTAACCACAACTTAGTTCTGCCTACTCTAGAACTTCACATAAATGGAATTATAGAATATGAACTCTTGTGTAGGTATCACTCACTCAACATGTTTTGAGATTCATCCATGCTGTTGGATGTACCAGTAGTTAGGTCTTTGCACTGCTGAGGTGGACAATGAATGTGACCAACTCCTGGTTTGCTCAAAAGTTTCCTAGTTAAAAAACTTTCCTAGTTTTAGCACTGAAAGTCCCATATTCCAGAAATCCTTTGAGTCCCTGGCAAACCAGGACAGTTAACCCCACTAATTCCACTGTATAATTACATGAATGTGTTTATATGAGAATTTGTTTATCCACTTTTTCTGTTGATGGACTGTTTCTGTGAATGGTCTTACTCAAATCTTTTTGTGGACATATTCTTTTGCTTTTCTTGGGTAAATACCTCAGAATGGAATTGCTGGGTCATGTGACAGGTTTAAGTCCAGCTGTATAAGAAACTGCCAGATCTTTCCCCAAAATGGATGTACAATTTTATATTTCCAACAAAATATGAGAGTTCCAGTTGTTCCAATTCCTAGATAACATTTGGAGTTGTCAATCTCTTTAATTTTAACCATGCTGTGGATATTTTGGTTTTAATTTGCATTTCCTCAGATGACTAACGATACTGTGTTTATTGGCCATTTGTATATCTTCTTTGTGAAAAGTCTGTTCATATCTTTGACCATTTTTAAATTGGGCTGTCTTTTTAAAAATTATTGAGTTGTAGACACTCCCTGCATATATTGGAAATGATTCATTGTCAGATGTATGCATTGCAAATATTTCCCTAAAATCTGTGGTTTGCCTTAGCATTTTCTTAGTCTTGCCTTTTGATGGGAAAATTTAATTTTAATTAAGTCTAATTTATTATTATTCTTTTGTGATTACTTTCAATGACCTGCTTAAGAGATTTTCAAAAGGAAATTAGTCCTGAATATTCATTGGAAGGACTGATGCTAAAGCTGAAACTCCAATACTTTGGCCACCTCATACGAAAACTGACTCATTGGAAGAGACCCTGATACTGGGAAAGATTGAAGGCAGAAGAAGGGGATAATAGAGGATGAGATGGTTGGATGGTATCACTGACTCAATGGACATTGAGCAAGCTCTGAGAGTTGGTGATGGACAGGGAAGCCCAGCGTACTGCAGTCCATGGGATCGCAGGGAGTCAGACATGACTGAGTGACTGAACTGAAGAGATCTTTGCCTGTACCCAAACTGTAAAGATAATCTCTTATGTTTAGTTTTAAAAGCTTTAGACTTTTTTGAACTGTATTTAAATTTGTGACCCATTTTGAATTTTTGTGTGTATATGAGATGCAGCTAGAGGTTCATTTTATTTCATGTGGATATCCAGTTGTTCCAGCACCACTAGCTTTCCCTTTGAATTGTTTAAGCACCTTTGTCAAAAATCAAGATTATTTAAGTGTGGATTGTTTCCAGGCTATTATGTTTGTCTATGTCTTAATTACTATGGTTTTACACTAAGTTTCAAAGTCATGTGTTCTAACTCTTCTTTTTCAGAATTACCTTCTGCATTGTTCACTACAATAACTGTTAGCCACATGTATTTACATAATCACATTTAAACGTGTTAAATTAAAAGATCAGTTCCTTTGTAGCACTAGTCCTCTTTCAAGTGCTCCATAGTTACATATTGGCTAGTACAGATATATAATATTTTTATCATCACAGAAAGTTCTATTGGAAAGCACTACTTTTTAAAAGTATTTTAGGTCCTTTCTATACCCATATAAATTTTAGAATAAATTTGTCAATTTCTATTTTTTAAAGCTTCAAGGTGCAATTATAATTGGGATTGCATTTTACTGATAGATCTTTTGTGGGGAGAATTGTCATCTTAAAAATACTGTATCTTCTAATCCATAAATAATGGTCTTCAATGATTTAGATCTTTAATTTCTCTTAGCAACATGTAATAGTTTTCAGTATAGAGGTACTGCTTGTTTTTTGCAAAATAGATTCCTAAGTATTTTGGGTTTTTTATGCTATAGAATTGCTTTTTGAATTTAATTTTCCAACTGATTATATCTGGTATATAGGAAAATCATGTAATTTTGAATTTTGACCTTGTATCCTGAGAACTTGCTATATTCATGATTCTTCGGGATGCTCTACTTAAGCAACCATGTTATCTGCAATTAGTTTTCTTTTTTTTTTTTTGATGGGCTAGGTGGTTTTTTAAAAAATATTAACTTATTTTAATCGGAGTATAATTAGTTTACAATATTGTGATGGTTTCTGCCATACATCAACATGAACCGGCACAGGTATACATGTGTCCCCCCATCCTGAATCCCCTTCCCGCCTCCCTTCCCACCCTATCCCTCTGAGTTGTCCTATTATACAGAGTGAATTAAGTCAGAAAGAGAAAGTCAAATACTGCATATTAATGCATGCATATATATGGAATTTAGAAAGATGGTACCGAAGATCCTATATGCAGGGCAGCAAAGGAGTCATAGATGTAAAAAACAGTTTTACTTCTTAATTTCTAATTTTATACCTTCTGTTTTTGTTTTACTGGACTACTGAATAGAAATGGTGAGAATGGACTTCCTTGCTTTGTTTCCAACCTTAAGGGCAAAACATTCAATACTTTCAGTGTGACACAGATTGCAGGTTTTTTAGAGATGTCTTTTATCAGGTTGAGGAACATTCCTTCTATTCCCTATTGGCTTAAAGTTTCATTGCCATTATTTTTAAATCATGAAGGGTGCTGAATTTTGTCAGATGTTTTTGCTACACCTATTCAAATGATTATTTATCTTTTCTCTTTTGTTCTCTCAATGTAGTGAATTACATTGATTGACTGATTTTCAAATGTTAAATCAGTGTTGCTAGATTCTGTATCTCTAAGTATAAGAGATTACAAGTGTGTGCTCAGTCACTTCAGTCGTGTCCAACTCTGTGTGACCCTATGGACTGCAGCCTGCCAGGCTCCTCTATCCATGGGGTTATCCTGGCATGAATATTGCAGTGGATTGCCATGCCCTCTTCCAGGGGATCTTCCTAACCCCGGGATTGAACCTACATCTCCTGAGGCTCATGAATTGGGACTGAGCATAGGACGATAAAAGCTCCAACTATGATTGTGGGGATTTTTATCCCTTTATTTCTTACTACCTGGTAAGTTCCTCCTCTTTATTCCTACTATTTGGCTTCATATACACATCTGTTATTTTTATGTGTTTGATGAACTGTACCTCTTTATATTTGGTAATATTCTTTGCTTAACTTTTATATCTGGTAATACTCTTTGTCTTGACAACTCTTTTGCTTAATATTAAAGTGCCTTCTTACACTTATTGAATGAGTAGTATATCAGTTTTCTTGTTCAACTTATATCTATCTTTATATTTAAAGTGCCTTCTGGAAGTCACAGTATAGATGGGTCTTGTTTTGTTTTGTTTTTTAAATTCATTTTGACAGTCTCTACCTTTTAACAGGAGTGTTTAGTCCATTAACATTTACTATAATTAGTGATATGTTTAAATTTAGGTCTTACATTTTACTATTTGCATATTTATTTGTTGTTCCCCTATCCATTATTTCCTGCATCTTTTGGTTAATTGAATATCTTTTAGAACTCCATTTTAATTTAGCTATTGAACTTTTAACTATACTTTTCTATTCCTTGTTGTTTTCTTTTTGCCTTAAGTGGTTGCTCTAGGGCAGCAGTCCTTAAAGTGTGGTCCCGGGATCTTAAAAATCAAAATCAAGATGATTAAAAACAAGAGTACTGTTATTTGCCTATTAGATTTTCATTCTCTTTTGTATATACAGCAGAGTTTTCCAGAGACTTTATGATATGTGATGGTGTCAACACTCTGTATACATGTGTGTTCTTGTGTTTTCTATTAATAGGTTCCTGATATAATAGATTTAGGGTATATATACATCCATTTTCAGAGATTAACTCAGCTTGTTCTCTGTATCTTTATTGGGTTCTTGTTAATTTTCTTTAATTATACCTGATATACCTGCTAAAACCTCATTATTATCAAACAGTTAGGTTTCTTTTTTGGCAATGCCCATAACATGGTCTGTGGGTTCCTAGTTCCCAACCAGGGATCAAACCCATAGCCCCTGCAGTGGAAGCATGGAGTTTTAACCACCAGACCATCAGGAAAATCCCCAAACAAGTAGTTATTCTGAAATCCTAGAAGAAAAGAAGAGAAAGGGGGACTTTCCTGGTAATCCAGTGGTTAGGACTTGATGTTTTCACTGCCGTGGCCTGGGTTCAAACTCAGGTTGGGGAACTAAGATCCAGCAAGCCACAGGGTGTAGCCAAAAGAAAAAAAAAATGAAATGAAATCCTAAATTTTTCCTTGTATCTACATGGCAGCACAATAAGACTAGGTAGAATTAATATATTTGTTTCATAATATTTAAGCATTTAAATAACTTAAAATACTAAATTTAATATTAAACTCATTTTAGAAATTAATCACATTTTACTCTAAAATGAAAAATTATAATTGTTTTCATATTTAAGAATGGATTATTGGCTTAGGAATGGGGACTTATCTTTTTATTGGTACAAAGTTTCAGTATGGGATGATGAAGATGATCTGGAGATGGACAGTGGTGATGGTTACACAGCAATGTAAATGTACTTTATGTCCCTGAACTGTACATTTAAAAATGGTTAAAATCATAAATTTTATGTTATATATATTCATTAGAATAACAAATATTTTTCTCTACACACAGCTTTTCTGTTTACTTCTAAGATACTGAGAAAGTTGAAAGTGTTAGAATTCTCTGACTCAGTGAAGAAAGAAATCTATATAAAGTAACTGGGTGACACTGATTTCCTGTTTTATCAAATGAAATGCAATGAACACTACCTTCCAATAAGCTTTATAAATGTTAATAATTTACCTTATTGTCTTTTGCGACAGAACATTATGTCCAAGTTAAGCTGCAGCATCATTTTGAGATCAATCATTCAGAGATTAAAGCAAAACAATTGTAATTGTAAATGCAGGTGTGGTGAGCATTTAAATGCCACAAATTGTTTTTATAACTTTCCAAACTAGAAATTAAAAAACCATTCAGGCACTTTATAGGCTAAGTTGTTATACTGCATTGGTTGGCAAACCAATCACAATAGCCGAGAGACTAGTAAAGCCTTGAAAAGTTAACATTGTTGAATGCCTCCTGGATGAAACATGCATTACCATTTTCCAATATAGAAATTTACTAATTCAAAGATTTAACTAAAAACAGTGATTTAATGTCTTATCAATAGACTTGTGTTACTGTGTTTGCCTTAAAAATAAATAAATCTGATATAGCAGGACTAATTTTGTTTGTATTCATTTGGTGTCAGCACCAGCTAATCATACAAGATACTCTTATGTCAATGCCTGAGAAGTAGTACTGAAATATTCGAAGTGTTGAAAATTCTTCTGATTATTTATCCTGGGCCAGTTGCGCTGATAGTCTCACCTACGGTACAGAAACAATCGATGGTAAAACTGTGGGCTGGAGCACAAATCAATGCAGTGGTACCAAAGAGTATTATGTTCTTTACTACTATGCACTCCCAGTTAAAAAAGAAAGTTCATTTAAGAATAGCCCTGATGAAACAGTGAAAATATTTATTAAGTATTGACCCCCCAGTACCTATCTATTTAATATTATGTGTGAAGAGATAGGATATGCATTGAAGTAATTCTGCTGTATACTGAAGCACAGTAGTTGTCTTGAGGAGAAGCACTTATGTGGTTGTTTGACTTGTGAGCTGAACTTATGAGCCACTTTTTTCATGAAACCCCATTTTCTACTTAACAGACAGCTATGGCAGACAAACAACGGTCATTTAGACTTGGTTAATAAGCATACTTCTTTTTTCAAAAATAAATGAAATGAGTATGTCATGTCAAAGAAAACATCTAATAATATTTATTGCCAATGATGAAATATGAACTTTCAAGTCAAAATTAGGATTTTTGAAAACTTGTAAGTACCTGTATCCACTGTAAGACTGGCAGCTTCCCAAACTTAAATACTTTCTTTGATGGGGTTGGTGGTAGTATTAACAAAAGTGATTCTGGATATTGTCTAATGAAATGTATCAACATTTTGAAGATCTGTGACCACTCTTTTCCTATGATCAATGCATGATGTTATAACTCATTCAAAGTGTTAAGACAGACCAATGGAGAGTACAGAAAGTTCACTAATATGGCTTTAGATTCTATATGGCAACTAACCTTTAAGAAACCTCCACTTCAGAGTTTTGGTGTAGTATTAAAGAAGAATATCCACAATTATCTGAAAAGGCTATTTAAATTCTCCTCCATTTTCCAACTACATATATGTGTGAGGATGGATTTTCTTCATATACTTCAACCTAAACAACATATCACAACAGATTGAATGCAGAAGCAGATATGAAAATCCAGATGTCTTCTATTAAGTCAGACATTAAAGAGATTTCAAAATGTATAACAATGTCAATCTTTTCACTAACTTACTTTTGTTTTGGAAAACATAATTATCTAGCATAAAAACATTTTATTCATGTTAACATAGAATAGATCTATTATTGGTATTTTAATGAATTAATAAATGAATATTTTTAATTTCTCATTTTTTCTAAAATGTATATATAGGTAGATATAAGTTATACAAACAAAATCTCTTTGGGGTCCTCAGTAATTCTTAGTATTGTAATGGGATCTTGACACCAAAACGTTTGAGAATCACTGCTCTAGGGATTATAAAATATATCCTTAACTTTTCATAGTCTAAATAATTGTTATTATTCCACTTGATGTAAAATATAATAACTGTGACCATATAGGCCCTGTCCTTTATGCTACAGTGCTATAGTTGTTCTATATACTATACCGAGAATTATGTATTATATCTACACACCTAAGCCTCACATTATAATGTTTGCTTTGCACAGTCATATTTATTTTAAAGAAATTAGGAAATTATATTTACCCACACATTTTTTATTTCTTGTGTTCTTCATTCCTTCCTGAAGAGCTAAAATTCAAGCCAATTTTATTCCTCTTCAGTCTGTAAAATTCTCTTAGCATTTTTTGTAGTGTAGGTCTGTTGGTAGTTCATCTTCTTTGTTTTCTTTTTCTTTTATCTGAAGATGTTTTTACTTCTTCAGGATTCTTTAAGAATATTTTTGCAAGATAACAGATTTCAGAGTTGACAACATTTTTCTTTCAGCATTTCAAAGATATTGTTTCCATGTCTTCAGGCTGTATTACATCTGATGAGAAGTGACTGAACCTTTGAATCAATGTTCCCTTATGTATGTGTCATTCTTCTCCATTTGCAAAATTTTCTTTTTTTAGGTTTTAAGCACTTCAGGGCTTCCCCGATGGCTCAGTGGGTAAAGAATTCGCCTGCAATGCAGGAGACACAGGAGACGTGGGTTCGATTCCTGGGTCAGGAAGATTCCCTGGAGGAGGAAATGGTAACCCACTCCAGTATTCTTGCCTGGGAAATCCCATGGACAGAGGATCCTGGCAGGGTACAACAGTCCATGGGTCACAGAGAGTTGGACACAACTGAGCAAATAACACTTTCACTCTCACTTCAAGCACTTTGACTACAATGAACCTAGGTGAGATTTTCTTTATACTTATCCTGATTGGGATTGCTGAGCTTCATGAAATTGCAAATTTGTGTCTGTCATCAAAATTGGAAAATTTAGGTCACATGTCTTCACACGTTTTTTCCCAATCTCATTTTCTTCCTCTTTTCCCTTGGGAATTCCAATTATACATAATTTGACCCTGAGACTCTGTTCATTTCATTGTCATCTCCCCTCCCTGTCCCCCATCATCCTCTGGTCTTCAGATTGGATAATTTCTGATTGATTTAAGTTCACTGACTCTTCTTTCATCTCCAATCTGCTGCTAAGCCCAAGTAGTGACTATTTAATTTTAAATACTGTATTTTTTAATTCTAAACTTTCTGGTAGTATTAAAAAATAGCTTCTATTTCTCTTTAAGATTTCTTATTAATTCATTCACATATTAATATATATTTCCTTCATATCCTTGAGCATATTATAAAATCATTGATAAATTCAACATCTGGGTTAACATCTGAGACTGCCACCAATGATTGCTTTTTGAGTTTTTCTTTTTGCTCTTGAGTATGAGTTATAGTTTTCCTGTTTCTTCATATATCTAGTGACCTTGGATTCTGTCCTGGACATTGTGAGAGCCATGTTTTAGAGTTTGGATGCTGCTATAGTTTTCTAAAACGTATTGATTTTCTTTTTCTTTTCCCTTAAATTTTTTTTTATTTTTAGCAAATGATTAAGCTGGCTAGATTCAAATCTCAAACTGTCTCCCCTGCATGAATAGCAGCTGAAATCTCAGTTCAATTTCTTTAACCTTTACTGTGCTGCTGCTTAGAGTATGTCCTGAACATGTCTAGTTCAAGTATCAGATAAAAATTTGGCAGAGTTTAAAATCAGAATTTGGACCTTCCTCTACCTGGCTGTCTTCTTCCTGAGATTTTCCACTGACTTTCCATCTGGAATAGTTTCTTGAATTTTGCCCTATGATTCTTCAAGCAAGTAAAATAGCAGGTTTCTCTTCAAGTTTTGGCTGCCCCATGGATGGGACTTTTCCTCAGGCTAGAAGCTGTAAAAAGCAGGAAACTCACGCTGTGTCAGTTCCTTCTTCTAAGAGGCTGCTCTCCAGTGTTGTCAGTGCTTTTTATATTTTTTCCAGGATTTGTCTTTGCTTTCTGCAGAAGGTTGAGTCCAATAGAAGCTACTTGGCCAATAGCAGAAGTAGAACCCTGCACATGTTTCTGAATCCATCTCACAAATGCTATTTCCATTTTGAAATTAGAATGCCAAACTAAGCATCAAAAATAAGAAAACAAAGTAATCTCAATTAGTAAATTTAAAATGTATTTTGATAATTATAAGGCCTAAACAGTTTTAAAAATAGTTTCATGATGCTAAGACACAATGAAATTAGATCTCTGGCTCCAATGACTCCACTGTTACAGATAAGATGGCTTTAAGTTGATGGACTTTATGTCCATGGAAAAATAAAAAACTTCTGAAAATGCTGGCTGGTCTAGTAGAAGAATTTAGAAGTATAAAGGAAAGGTACTCGAGCTTAGGAAGAGATAAAAGATATAAACCCAGGGTTGTAAGCAGGGATTTTTCAAATGGGACAAGTGTGTGGTGGATTGGTTCAGCAACAGAATAGGAAATAAGACTTGCAGTATAAGAACTGGAATAATGAAGGCAGTAAATTAAAGAAGCACCACAGCTTAAGATGAATGAAAAAAATTCCAGTGACTCAAGAGAGAAATCAGAACACTGGGAAGGTAGCAATTATATCTATTATAGAGGATGATGCAGCCTCTGTTTTTTGTTTTTTTTTTTAACCATCATCCTCAACAAATTCTGGTGAAGTCATATTTCAGGGTGGTGGATGACAGGCGTTAATGGTATTTTAGTCTATTACTTTAATGTGGCCTAAGTAATCATAAACTACTTCTTTAGTCTTATGGGATCAGCTGGTCTCCATGAATGATCAAAAATATAGTTTAAGTTGAATGTTACTGTGCCTCTGCAAGATGCTGATGATGCCTTCCATCCCAATATAGTAATTAATATGGATCAAGAGTTGAGTGAACATGGGACAGAAAGGTTTGCATAGTAATTAAAACTGTTAGACATTCAGGAGAGAGAGAGAGAGAGAAAATGCATTATTTGCAAACAGCTAACTAGGCAGGGAGACAAGCTAACCTTGAGTCAGATAATCATCTGTTTTACACTCTCATCCAGATATAAAATTGTACATGTCCTTGATCATAGATGTAAGGCTAAAAGCTCAACTTCTGTACTCACCCTAACTTTGAGTGGTCTTTCATACAGATAATCCCAACTTGCCATTATTTTGGCTCCTATAATGGCAAGTTGGGATTATCTGTATGAAAGATCACTGAAAGATAAGGTGAGTACAAAAGTTGAGCTTTTAAATTAATTAATTTGAAACCTTTTTTGTGCCACTACTTTATCCATTAAAAATAACATGTCTCCTATATTCTTATAAATATGCTTATTTTTCCTGAAATGGAAATTAATATTAGAATAAAAATAATTTTATTGTATGTATTTTAATGTTAAAAATTATATTATAATTCTGATTAAACATAAATAAATTCAAATATACCACAGAAAACAAAGAAAGGCAAAGCAAAGAGCAATTTAAAAAACTTAACTGGAGAAAAGGACTAATACTGACAAATGATCATATTAATAAATACAATGTATTTGTTTACCCTATAAAGAGTTTGTAAAAAAGAAACATTTTATCTAAAGTTAATGAGACACACTTGAAATGTCAGCAATATACAAAAAGTTTAAAAATAATATTAAGAAAAAAATTAAAAAATAAAAAAGGTCATTATATACTTTCAACAATACATGTTCCAAAAATTTCTAAGAAAAATGACTCAATTATTAGATGAAATGTTGGAGACTTCAACCGTTACAAAATCTGTGCAGAATGGAATATAAACAGAGTCAAAATTAACATATTTAAAAGAGAAATCCTATTCTCCAGTAATTCTTATCTTTTTCACTGTTCCTTTGGAGAATTTGATTATATATAGAGGACATGTCTCCAGACACATTTTGCCAACAATTTTAGGTATTCAAGAACTTTTTGAAGCTACATTACCATCCTTTTTTATATATTAGGATCACAATAACTAACATTTATAAGGCCTTCCTAACTGCTAGGAATCACACTAAACACTTTATATTCATTTTAATTTAATTTTTATAACAACATTATAAGGTAGGTTCCACTCTTATCCTCAAACAACCTATGAGATCAACATTATCATTATTTTCATTTTACAGACCAGGAGAGTGACCATTAGAGATGCTGTTACTGAAACAGGAGGCAAGGCGGCAGGGAACAACTTTTAAAAGAATGATATGGCCATAGGACATGACAAAAACTAGTTAGAACCAACTAGGTCCAATGTGGCAGAAGATCTGACTTCCTGTGGACCTCGTTATATGCCCATCATAACACATTAGCAAAAGCTAAGTGACACACCCACCAGTGCCATGACAATTTCAAGCTGGACCATCAAAAACCAAAAGGTTGACAATAGTCCAATTCCTGGAAGTCTTTGTCCCTTCCTCAAAATATTTGCAATAATCCTCTCACTCACTAGCCTATAAAATTACCCAATACATAAAAACTAACCACCCCATAATTCAGGACCTCTTGCCTTCTGAGATGGCCCACACTCTATCTGTAGAATGTGCTTCTCTCTAAATAAATCCACTTCTTACCTATCACTTTGTCTCTCACTGAATTCTTTCTTCGATGAGACATTAAGAATCTAAGCTTCATTAAGGGCTGAGACCAGGTATGTGATATCAAGACCATGAGTTCAAATCCCAATCTGAACAACCTGCACATTCTCATTACTTTTCCAATTGCTCAATTGGTCATACAGCCAATGAACAGGAGAGACAGGATTTATTTATATCCTTATCTCTCGGATCCCAGGGTTTTTTTTTAGCTCTTAAGCACTATGATACACTGTCCCTCACTAAGGTCATTTCAAATTAATTAAAAAATCAATATATATGAAAAAGAGATATAAACATATCTCAAAGTATATCCAACCACATTTTAAAATTTATATTACCCTCATTGCAAAAGAGAATTTGCAATAGTTACAGAGATACACACAGAATAAAAAATAAATATAGGAATGTGTGGGGATGGGGTAAGATGTGAGGATGGGCTAAGAATGTGAAGTGAAACGAGAGGCAGTCCCGGAACAAAACTGGGTATCATAAGATCACCTGTGACTGCTATAAAGATGAGCCACAGATTTGCCTCTGCACAACACAGTAGCCAGAGAAAAGAACTTAATAATATTTTTCTTGGTACTAAACTGGAGAAAAAGATCTTTTCTAGGGAGCAACAACATAATATGATAAGACTTTAAGACAAACGTTTCTCACAAGAAATTTCTTACACATTCTCTGATGTAGACCAAAGCATGATGTGCCAGTATATGTCAGGAAAGACAATTCTATCCAGGCTATAATGCAGTCTCAGAATACAACTCTATAATGAACTGGATTAGGCAGAGAGTAGATATGGACTAGATGGGGAAATGGACAGACTGTATGTCCTTCAGGTAATGTTTCTGTCAATTAAACTTTTGAGTTTAACAACTAATAGCTTATTTTCTCCAACAAGAACCTGGAGTACAGAAATGCTACATTGTTCAGGAGGCCAGAGTCATATGCACGGACAATCATGCAGAGGGTAAAACTGAGAAATTCCAGTGGAAGCTAGAGGGCCCAAAGAGAACACACATCTG